CTCTTCATTTCCAGGCATGGGTGTCCCGGGTTACTCTGCTACTGTGAGCAGGCCACAGCATGGGGGGATGCTTGGGGCAATGGAAGGAATGATCCTGGGAAAAAGCACAGCATTCTAGCTGCTTTTTTTGCAAATGCTGTTTCACAAAGCACCCTTATCTTGTTGGTGATGGAAAAGTGCTGGCTGCTGAATCCACAGTTTGCCAATGTCAACTAGGTGAACTGGGGAAAGGTCCTTTAAAAAAGACAGAGCGGACAGGTGAACAAACGATACAAGTGATGAGCCTGCCAACCCATATATGAAAACCAGGGAGAAATCAGTAAGCAGGAGATGGAAAATCAGGAAAGGGAGAACAGTCTGCACAGACATGGGGGGACGAGGAGCTGACAGCCGTCTTTTAGCATTTTTTTATACGTAGAGGTGATAGTCCAAGAGTCTAATAAAGGGTAAATGCCTGAATCAAAATGCTGAGATGTATTGAAATAGAATTTCATGATTTATTTTTTTTTAATTGAGTTAAAGCATTGGCTTTGTTTAAGCTACGCTATAAATCTAAGAGCAAGAAATAATAGTGCGTGACCATATCTGGGGCAACAGGAGCTCTGGAAAGTCAGAGCAATCTCGGTGAGTGCTCAGCCAGACACTGAAGCCAGTGAGATCTTTACAAATCTTTATTTATGTGTGGCATTGGTGTCTTTTGTCCTTGTTTACATCAGATTTTGGAGCAGGGAGAGCAAAAAGTCCTAACTCTGATTCCAGGCCGAGGAAAAATGCTTTGAGAGTGAAAAGTTCGGTCTGTTTTGTTCCTCAGAGCAGGTGAAGGAAACTTATTGCTCACAAGGATTATGTAGATGGTCATTTAAGCAGGCTGAGAAAGTCATATGGGGACTACAAGGAGATGAGGAAGCTGGAGGCCACATGCATTCAGTGAGACTTTTGGGAGTGCTCAGGGTCCAGCACCAGCACTCAGCCCGGTAACAACAATCTGGAGACTGCAAACTGCCTTTGGAGGGTTTGGCCAGTCTTTTCCAAATCCAGTTGCTCTTCAACACACAGCTTGCCCTTATTGGCATCACACTGATGAATTCATCCAAAGATGTAAACAGGTCTCGGAGGCATGATTTCTTGCCATGGAAGCAGCACAGATACTCGCCCACTGATTCATCGCCAACCAGTTGCTGACTCTTTGTGCTGGCTTTCAGCTCTCTGATACAGAGAACTCGATGGTTATTGTTGGTTTCTGAACTCCTTGAAGATCCTTTCTAAAATCTACATCACATCTGTAAATTCCTACTCCTTGGTGTCGGGGCTGAGGTGTATGATGAATTACAAGAATTAACTCTTCATCCATTCTCTGCCCAAGACCATCTGAGACTGACACATGGCACTGAGAGACTGCTGCTCCTCATGGCACTGACACGTCTGCAAGTCCCAGCATTTAATCTGCAGTGGTGTCTTTGCCTCACCTCTGCTGGGAAAAAATCTCCTATCTGGGAATACCCCTACTGCTGACAGAAGCATTTCTTTTACTCTTCTACTGTGGTCTTCTTCATCTGATACCACTCCGTCTGAGATGCATTTGAAAAAGATTTTAATAATATTTTTCCTTTGTCGTATTGTGTTATAAAACCTGCCCTCTTAGTCTCTTTTAATTTGCTACTGTTTATGAATTCTTCTATTTTCACTTGACCACAGCTATTGCTTTTTGAAGGGTGTCTATTCAAGTCTTATGCAGTAAAGTATAACGCATTACTTATTGTTTCTTCTAGGAGATGTACATATAATTGAAAATAATTTCCTCAAGAAGATGACACTGCTATAGTAAGATAATACACGGAGGTAAGTTAGCTGTCCTGCAGTAAAAGATTATCTTCAGCTCACAGAGCAAGCAGCAAACAATTTGTTTCTGTGGTGTAGATGCAGTAAGACTGCCACGATGTGGGCAGGTTGGTTCTGCCAAAATGTCTGCTTTTGTGAGTGGCCATGTGTGCAGTGCTGTTTGCATACTGTGACTTTGGGTTGTGAAGCTGTGCTTTGTGAAAGGCATCTGTTACAATGAGTTTGGAACACTGTCATTGGAGGTCTTTGTCTTGTACAAATGTCCAATACATGCCTCGCAGTCTTTTCTCTCTGAGCCCTGTATCTTCCTTGCACACACCATTTGGAGTGATGTGCTCAGCAAACGGTTTACTTCACAAGTAGACAGTACGTGTGGGTGTCCAACACTTTTTACTGTGCTTGTGTAGTGGCTGTTTTGTTCTGTTTTGGTGTGACGTTCCAGTAGCATTAGTTAGTTTGAATGTCTGCTCAAGATGGTTTTCACTACATAATGTTCTGCTTAAGGCTAAAGAAGTTTCATGCTGACATCTTGAGAAGGTCTGAGAACAACCCCAGCCATTTCTTAGGAGGCAATGCATGTACGGTAAGGTATGCAAATGCCGATGAGATTCTCTCTTGAAATTTGAAACTGCCCAAAAAGCAGTGCTTTTTCTATAAAAGCTTCATTCTGAATTTTCTCTGCCTTCAAAAAGACAAAAAGGTGCAGCTGAGCACCCCTGGATGTAGTTGGCTGCCACTCTAAGGTATGGCCCTTGTGCTGTGCCAGCACAGCCCCAAGCAGCACTGAGCGCTGCGTTGGGCGCTCGTAGAGTAGCATGGGATCTGGCTGACTGCAGCTGCTCTCACAGCTGGTTTGGCCTGGCAGGACAGCACCATTGCTTTCAGCTCTTCTGCTGGGCAGAGCCTCCTTATGCCAGCCGGAGGGCCTGTGCCCCCAGTGATCTTTTCTGCAAGTTTTCCTTCAAAATGTGCGAAGAGCAAAGCCAGAACTTCTCTGCTGAGTCGAGAACTGCTACAGGGAGAAGAGTCAGCTGCAACAGCAGCACTCCCCTCTTTATCCCGGTGGCAAGCTTCCAAAATGATAGCATATATTTTTACTATTGTTAGATCAATTTTTAGAACAGGGCTGCAGCTCCTGGGCAGGGTGGCACAGCGGTGGCACAGCTCTGCTGCCCGTCTCCTTGCTGTGGTGCCATCTGCAGGTGCAGCGACTGGCTGCAAACTCGTCGGGACTCGGGAAGGTGCTCGGGGCTGATGGGGAGAGGGAGGGCACCGAGCCCCCAGAGGGCTGCGCAGCTTGTTTGGCCAAGCGCCCTCCCACTGCTTCCACACCTGAGCTACCGCGCTGTTAGTTCTGCGGCTCCCTGCTCGTTCTACCTCGCTGCCCCGCATCCTTCTTACAGGAACATCCAGCAAGAGTGTGAATGGGTTGGAACAGCGCTTTAATGAAAACAGAATGAACCGTTATACCCAAAACATTCACAGCAATTGTTTCTCAGAACAACGGGTACTCTGCCTCCACTCCCTGCCCCCCAGCTTGTATAAGTTTGCCCCCCACTCCCACAGCAATTTGATAGGGCTTTGTTGATGAACAGTGTGAGTTCACTGCATTTTTCAGGCAGCTGTAGACTGCTCAGGAAACATAAGTCTTCCTAGATGAAAAAGGTGATTCTTTTAAATGTTCCTGCTTGCGGGCATCTGGTGTTTCTGCAGCCTCTCAGCACTTCCCTATCATCACACAAGGATCTCGCTGGCATGCACACAACTATGCAGGCAGCAGCACACAGGACAGCCATTCAAAGCACCAAGCAGAGCAATTATAGCCAGGATGGGACCCACACAGGGCGCTTTGTTAGCCTGGCAGGGCTGTAGGCTGCCTGCTGCACAGCAGCATCCCACCTGCTCAGCAGGGCTGCCCCTGGCCAGCCCCAGAGCAGCTGAAAGCTGAAGAGCAGCTGCAGTTGCGCTCCAGAATTACCTAAAGCTCCTATCAGGACATTTAGAGGGCAAGCCAGGTATTGAGGCCATCCCAGAGCTAATGAGCTGTTCGTACTGTAAGTCCAGAGACAGGTTATGCAACCTATTTCCTCTGAGGAAAGCAACTCTGAGTCATCTCCCTCTAGCGCAGTGAATGTCTGGCTTTCACACCACACAGCTCTACCGTCAGAGATAAGCAGCTCCAGGAGACTGTCCCATGTTTCTCATGTCTCGGCCATGGGAGAGCCTTCAGCCTCAGTCCTTGCCCCAGGTCAGACTGTGAAAGCAGCTGCAACCTGCCTCCTGCAGAGAGCAATGCTGCATCTCTGATGCAGCTCTCAGCCTCAGTAGTGATGAAAAAAAAGGAAGAGCCCTACGGTTTTGGTGATAGTGAACTGCTTATCTACCCCTACCACTCATCAGCCAGGGTAGGCTCCAGGCCTGCAGCATGGCAGTGCTTGCAGCTCCTGGCAGAGGGCTGATCCTTGCAGAGATTTGCTGCTCAGGAGCCTGACTACAGCTGCTACTTCTTCTGCAGTCAGGACCATGCTTAATTCTAGCCCCCACAGAACACAAGGCCTGAGGCAGCCATTTCTTCCAGGGTGATTTATTGTCAGCTGCGTAATTGAATAGTTCTCTTTGTAGCATCCCTAATAAGGAAGGGGAAATTGAAAAAAAAAAAACCTGAGTTTTGTGCCATTTTGCCCCGTTAAAATGCAGAAATCACTCCTCAGCACTTTATTCTGCACACACCCATCAGACAGGAAAATCCAGAGCTGGAAGGTGGATGAAGAACTGCTGCTTTCCATTCCATCACACAGCAGTCTCACAGTCACAGCCCTCCACACCTTTTGGCTCGAGGGTAGGAGTCCCTCCCTTGCCAGCAGGCATACCAGAGCTCCATGCACAGCAGCTTTGCAATCAGTGGAGCTGGGCATCTTCTGTTTTTATCAATCATAGGTGCCAGGACAGCTCCATGCTTCTGCACAACCAGAGTTATCCAAGCACCAGCACCTGATGCCAGGTCTCACAGCTTCAACACATGCTGTCAGTAGAGCCACCAAGCATGAAACACTGCAGAGCACTGGCTGGAGTTGCTGGCCCAGCAATTATGGGCTAGCTGGGCCATCTTAAAGCATTTGATGAATTCCTTTTTGCTTCCCAATGACATACGAACAAAGCACTTCAGATGGTGAACACTTTTATTGATGTAAGGTGGTACACAAACAGATCAGTTTCTATCAGCCTCTCCCACCTCCCCCAGGCTGAGGAAGAAATTGGAGGAGTGGGGGAGACAGAAGGGAACAGAACTGGCCTCTCACTGCAGGATGCAGAACTGAGCGGTGGTGAAGAGCAAGGGGCTCCAACAAAGGGTCCTGCTTCCCTAGGCAGCAGGGGGGGCTGTGTGGCTGTGTGGCTCACTCCTTGGATGCCATGTGGACCATCAAGTCCACAACACGGTTGCTGTATCCATACTCATTGTCATACCTGAGAAAGGAAACAGAAGTGCTGTCAGCACTGACCCGTTCCTCGTATCCCTTTTCATGTCACTACTCTTCCAGCCCCAGCCCATACAACTGAATGGAAGGCTTCCCATCCACTCCTTACAAAGTAGGCAGCATCTCATCTGCCCTCCATTACAGGAAAGCAGCAGCAGCCATTTCAGATACATCTCACTAGAGACTGTCACATGCTGGAGCCACCTGAACTAAGCAGGGAACTGTGTTTCCATGCACTGTCAGATGGTGCTGATGAAATGAAACAGCACAGAACTGCTCCAGAACTGCCAGTCTCTATCTACCTCCCAGTCCCCCCCACATCCTGAGGCTGTGCATACCAGGAAACAAGCTTGACGAAATGGTCATTCAGTGCAATGCCAGCACCAGCATCAAAGGTGGAGGAATGGCTGTCACCATTGAAGTCACAGGAGACAACCTGGAACAGAGAGGCACTTTCAAGCACTCTTCCACCCAATAGATGGTAGCAGCCTGAATCACAAATCATCATCCCAGCAAGGCTGCCACCATCAGAAAAGTGAGGCAAGTAACACCTACATAGAAACTACTTACCTGGTCCTCTGTGTATGCTAGGATGCCCTTGAGGGGCCCATCAGCAGCAGCCTTTACTACCCTCTTGATGTCATCATATTTGGCCTGAAAAAAAGGCAGAAGGTAAGATGGTCAAATCCCATCTCAAAGTGTCAGCTACAGCCTGGACACAGGGAACCACGTAACTAAGCCACACATATCAGGTGCTACTTTCAGCAAAAACATTTTTTCTATTAAACAAAGGGATGTAGAAGGGCAAAATTCCAGGTATGAAGAATTTAAGAGGCAAGCCTGAAGAGTTTTAAACCTTTCCCACAACACTTACTGGTTTCTCCAGACGGCAGGTCAGGTCAACAACAGAGACGTTGGGGGTTGGCACACGGAAAGCCATTCCAGTAAGCTTCCTAGAAAAAATATGTCAGCATGGAACAGCATAAGCATCCCTCTACCAGCACTGTTCCACTGCAAAAATGTTTGAGCCAGCCAGGAGCCAGCACTGGCTCCTACCTCCTTCTGACACAGAAAGACAGACAATGCTCACCCATTGAGCTCAGGGATGACTTTCCCCACAGCCTTAGCAGCTCCAGTGGATGCTGGGATGATGTTCTGGGCAGCACCCCTGCCATCCCTCCACAACTTCCCAGAGGGGCCATCCACCGTCTTCTGTGTGGCTGTGATGGCATGGACAGTGGTCTGGGGAAAGAGAGCAAAGTAAGACATCAGTCATTTTCTCCAGAGAAAGCATTCACAGCACCCCCATCCTCCCAAGCCAAATGGAAGCACTGCATATGGATGCTTTTCTTCACATGAGGGACCTGGGGGCAGAGCATCTTCCTGAGCATCAAGCTCCAGACCTACCATAAGACCCTCCACAATGCCAAAGTTGTCATGGATGACCTTGGCCAAGGGTGCCAGGCAGTTGGTGGTGCACGAGGCATTGCTGGGGAAGAAAGAAGGCAAATCAGCCACATACAACGCATGTATACACATGCGGTAAGACCTGGTGAAAATTCCAGGCCAGGGAGCATTCTTCTCCCTTACCTGACAATTTTCAGGGACTTGTCATATTTCTCATGGTTGACACCCATCACAAACATGGGAGCATCAGCTGAGGGAGCTGAGATGATAACGCGCTTAGCGCCACCCTTCAGGTGAGCCTGAAAAAAAAAAAAAAAAAAGATTAAATAACCCAGAATGCTCCAACAGTTGAGGTGCAATGCAATCCGCAGACCACCTTATCTCTTTCCCATCTTGAAGATCTCTGCAGATAAAGATGTGCCTCACAAAAATAAGCACCAGCAACCCTTTTCCCATGGGCCACAGTGGCCTACTTACCCCAGCCTTCTCCATGGTGGTGAAGACACCAGTGGACTCCACAACATACTCAGCACCTGCATCTGCCCACTTGATGTTGCTGGGGTCACGCCTAAGGAGGGACAAGACCGTGACAGTTACACCGGAGGGCACTTACTTTCATCCCCTGGAACAGCAAGAGGAGAAAGCTACTCACTCCTGGAAGATACTGATGGCATGCCCATTAATCACAAGTTTCCCATTCTCAGCCTTAACAGTGCCCTTGAAGTGTCCATGTGTAGAATCATATTTGAACATGTAAACCTAGCAGGGAGAGAGGTAAGATCAGGCATTCTAGATGCAATGCTCCCATCACAATCTCAACTCTCCGCCTTCTCAGTGACCTTGTCTAACTGCTGGTCTGTATTTTGCTCTAACCAGTCTCCAAGGTCTGCACCACTATGCCTCGTTCCTGCTTCTTAACCTTCCTGCAAGCCTATGCCAGGTTTCCAAGGGGAGCAGAGCAGGGTGAGCCTCTGGCTCCGCTGAACCATTCTAGGCAAGATGCACGTGGTGCCCAGAGGGGGCACTGCAAGACAACTCACCATGTAGTTCAGATCGATGAAGGGATCATTGATGGCCACCACTTGGACTTTGCCAGAAAGGATGGCAGCCCTGGTGACCAGGCGGCCAATACGGCCAAATCTGGGGAGAAACAGAGAGGTGGGTGAGGAGAAGCAGTGAGGAACACACCCAGCAGGACATGGCTGAGCCTATTCACTGCTTTCCCCCAGAGCATCTGTGAATCACTGCCCAGAGGGAGAGTCCAAGAGCAGCGGCCAAAGGCCGAGGAGCCGTGGTTAAAGATTAAGAGCGACCCCCGGCCAGGGCACCCACACCACAAAGGTCAGGCGCTAAATTTACTAAAGGCTCCGGGGATCTGGTTACTCCTCGGTGGGGTGGGAGAAGGTCACATTCCCGGGACACCCGCCGACACACGATCCACCAGACGACCTTTCCTCGGTTACCGGCTGGCCCCGGCCCACCGATGGGGCGCGGGGGAGCCCCGATGGGGCCGGGAGACCCCTCCGATGGGGCATGCGGGAGGCACCGGCGCTTCCGGGGTGACTCACCCCGACTCTGCGGGGAAGTGACTCAGCACCACCACGCGGGGCCGTTACTCCCGGGTCGGTGCTGAGGGGGATCTCGGTGCAACACCATCGGGATGCCCCCCCGCCCTTCAGGCGACCTTGCCCTCCCCCCCCACGGGCACGTACATCTCCGCGACCCCGCCCCACCCGGCGCCTCCCGGCTCGGCTCCGCACTCACCCGTTGACTCCGACTTTCACCATCTCGCCTTTATAGTGTTCCTGCGGGGAGAGACCGACAGTGAGACGTGCGGTGCTGCACGCAGACCGCCAGCCCGGTAACGTCCTCCCACCGCGCACTGCGGAGCGCTTGGAACCGCCCCCCAACCCGCCATCCCTTCCTTCACCCCCATCGAGCTCTCTTCCCCGCAGTTCTTCCCCCTCTCCCCCACCCCCACCCCCACCGCCTCCATCTTGTGCCGCCCGCCCCCGCCTTTGTGCCCCGGGCACCACGCGGCCCTGCGCAGAGACCCCCTCCCCCCGGTCCTACAGCCCCAACCCTACGGGGGGGGGGTGCAGGCAGACTGGCGGGTAGGTGAGATGAGGGTGGGGGACTTCTCCTCCCCCATGCCCCCTCCGCCCGTTACCTGCTGCACGTCAACGGCCCCAGCGCGCAGTGAGAAGGTGGCGCAGTGCCGCGCCGCCGCCCTTTATAGACACGGAGGCAGCTCCCCGAGCCCCGCCCCGCCGGGCCGGCGTCGAATGGCAGCGCGGGGGCCGGGCCGGGGCTACGTGCGCGCACGGTGCGGGCGAGGCGGCCCCCCCCCCTACCCCCCCCCCCCCCGCAACAAAGGGGGGCCGTTGGGCCGAGGGTGGGCTTGGGGAGGGGGGGGTTGATGCCGTACAACGGTGCCTGTGAGGGGTGGGGGCGGAGAGGGGTGCCCCGGGGCCGGGGGCTGCGGAGTTGCGTGCGAGACGAAGCCCCACGTGGGGCCGTGGTGTCCCCGGGTGAGGCTGGGGCGATGCGGCTGCAGCACGCGATGCGGTACGGTGGTGCAGGCTGCGCCGCTGCGGATACCCACAAAGCGGTGCGTGGCCGTGGGAGCAACAGAGCGCCGTGCGAGGCTGCGGCCTGCCCGCTTCCCTTCCTCAGCCCTCGCACGTGTTGGCTGCGCACCCCGAGCTGCTGGGGTGCGCTGGGTCCCACATCCATCCCCCGCGCCGTGATACCGGGGGGATAGGGCCGCCCGCCGGCCCCGCTCTGAGGCTCCCCGCCCGGCCCAGCAGGCCGTGCGGCGCAGTGTGAGGACCATGCTAATGAGAAACCGCAGCATCCCGCTGCTCTTGGGACGTGACGGCGGATATCCTCCCGTCGCCTCGAGCTGCTGTCGTGCCGCTCCCGCCTCGGCACGCCTGCGTCTGGCAGCCGGGCCTGGTGTGTGGGGAAGGAGCGGTCCCCGCGTGCTACTGCTGGGCCGCCCGGCTTGGTGCTATCCGCCGTGGGGCAGCGGGGCTCGTGCGACCCAAACCGAGGGGCCGCGGGATGGAGCCGTCCTGGTTTGAAAGCCTCCATCCCGTGGGATGGAGCGGGTACCTGGACCTGGTGCCCGGCGGGAGGAAGGTGCGGGACGGGAACGTGGAGGGGTGAGGCGGGCTCCCGTTTCGACTCCGGCTCCAAGGGCGGGGGCGGAGGATACCGGGGGGGGGGGTCCGAGCGAGGGGTCACGCAGCTCCCGTAACCCAACTCTCCTTGTATAGCTGTTATTCCCGGTGCACCGAGGGGCAATAGCTAAGTTTAGCCCCAGCCTGAGGTTACGACCTTTTCTTAAAGGCCAGGGGAGGCGGCGGTGCAGCCCCGTCGGGCGGCCGGGGGGTGCGATCCCGGGGCTGGGGGAGCCCCCGCACGTCGCGGGGTCAGGGCTGGCAGGGCGCGCGGAGGCCCTCTGTTTGCTCGGCAAACACGGCAGCGGCCGAGGGGCACAGCGTGGCAGAACGAGACAACGCGGCAGCCCCGTGGCCGCGATCGATGTGTCGGCCGCCCATCCTCCCCGGCTCCTCCTCCGCAACACCGGGCCCCGCACGCGCGTGCCGCCCGGCCCACCCGGAATGGCGGCGGCACCCAAAATGGCCCCGCGCGTGGGGGCCGCGCCGTGCCGCGGACTTTGCCGCCATCTCCCGGCGGGTGCGGTGAGGGTCGCGCGCCCCAGCAGCCCTTTAGCGCTGCGGGCGCCTGTGGCGCGAGCTCCGACACGAAGGTTCACACGGCTCGGTTTAATTCGCGAATCCTCGGCGCGGCGCGGCTCCCCGCCCTGCCCTCGGGGCTCCCGCTGCTGCCTGCTCCATCCCGTCCTGTCCCGAGCTGGGTCTCGTCCCGGGCCGGCTCTCCACACACCTGGTCTCTGCCTGCGAACGAGCAAGGCTGGTGAGCCGCCCGGGCCGGCCTCCTGCCGCCCTCGCTCCGGGTGCTCCCTGCCATCTGTGCCCTGGTGCCTGCCCACTTTACCGGGCCCTTGCTGCTGGCCCCCTCACCTCCAGTCTCTCCAGGCTAACAGCCCAACCCGCTGAAGGCCCCAATGCGGTCCATTTTCAGCCCAAAGCAGCCCCGGGGCACGGCCTTCCAGGCCCAGTCTCCAGAGAGAGCTCTCTTGCGACTGGCGAGGGCCTTGCGCCAGAGCAGGGGATGTGCAGCTCGGACCCCGGACAGAAGGAGTGGCAGTGGGGGGGAGAGCAGCTGTGGCTCAGAGCTGGACCCCTCTTTCATGTCCTCCTCGGCCGGCATGGATTTGGAGTCCGAGGGCAGCAGATGGGAAAGGAGCACCTGAGACATAGGGATAAATGGAGGAGATGGGTGAGGGTGGATTGCCCATGCTCCCGTACCCCAGCCCACTGTCCCACTCTCCCTCTCCTTCCCTCAGACTAGGGCAAGACATAAAATGGTGCCTGTGCAGAAGGCCCCATGCCTGTGACCTTGCATCCAGACCAAGGACACTGAAGGAAGGCTGGGCCTGCAGCTACCCAGCCTTAGCTGATTTTGCTGCCCAAAGAACAGGAAGGAATGCTGTGGGTATTACTGCCTCTGTTCCTTGCCTTGCTGCTATCAGATAGTTCTCTCCATACTTGGAAAATAATGGAGGCATCAGCCCTTGTTCCTGATGAAGCTGAGTTCTGCTGTGCGCTCAGAGTGTTTCGCCACGTTTCTTTTTTTCCAGAGGGCAATCTCACAGAGGAACCATTACCATAAAGCAGTCAAGTATCATAATGGGCCTAAGGAAGGCAGGCTCCCCATCTGCTGGGAAGTCTCCATACTTTCTGTGCAGGCAGGCATGCTCTAATTTAATTACACGGCTCCATCACTGCCAGCATCCTCCAGCGGCAGGGAGATGGCTCAGCAGGTACCCTGGGGGCACACTACTGCTGCCCATGGCAGCAGCCTGCAGTGGCTATTCCACGCCTGTGCATCACATGGATGCTTGCTATGGCTGAGGATGCCTGTATACAATTTAGCTCTGTCCTCTCCAGCATTGAGTTAATAGAAGCAGACACAGGCATCTTCAGAGAGGAGTGAAAGTGTCTCCATGGTGAGTCACAGCAGAATCAGTCCTGCGTTTCTACTTTGCATCCTAGCTGCTTCCCTGTAGCTTTCTTTTTGGACAGAGTAGCTGATGTGTAGGCAGTGCTGGGGCTTGGGTTAGTGCTTGAGGACAAGGAAGCTGGGTTGATTTAAAAGCCATAAATATTGTTTCTGCAATTGATGAAGTTAAAAGATTTAACAAAGATTTAACAAAACAAAGAAGCCCTTCGCCCTGCAGAGGACAGGACTGTAACTTTAGGTGGCTATTGCCACGGGACTCGATAAGATAGGACTGTTCTCCTTGCAGCCAGAAGCCTCTGAACAGACTCACAGCCAGGAGCACTCACTAAAAGGCTGCTGCCTGACCCCTGCCTTGAAATGTTGGCAACTCCCCGAGGAGCTGACTTGTAAAGACACAGTCAGCCTAGAGCTGAGGCTGTTGGACTGAAAGGGAGGGAGCAACCCTTGGGAGCTGGGATGTTGGGTTACCACTCACGCCATGTTCAAACACAACCTCCCCATATTGCCCCTGCCACTCCCAAAGCTTCCTTCAGCTCCATCCCAGTCCCTCCTACCTGGAGCCTTTGTCCTGATGAGGACATCGCTTGTACGCTGGCAGAGAGCAGAACTAGGAGGAGGAAAAGCGAGCAGGGCCACGCTGGGAGCCCCAGCATCTTCTCTTTATTCGGGGGCTTATGGGAGGTGAGACAGGATCTATAGCCTCTGTGAGTGCCGTCCCCTCTTTGCCTTTATAGTGTTGGTTCTGGCAGGCGCCTGCCCCCCAGCTCTGCTGCATGCCCCCCTGGAGCTCCTTAACCTTTCAGCCCTTTTGTCTGTGGTGATATATTTCAGGGTGAGCTCAGTGAGACCCCTTCCTCTAAAGAAAAAAGACACAAAAGTGTTTGCTGAGTGTCTGGGAAGACAAATGTAAGCCAAGCTGCTGCTGGCTGGGGCCTGGAGGTGTCTGTCAGGATCAGTATGAGACTTCAAGACACATCCAGAAACGGTATTGGAGACTGCAGTATGCAGTGACACTGACATTCTCTTGGGCAGAGTGCTGTTAATGTTTTTGCTCTAACCACAGTGAGCATGAGCTGCAGCTCAGCTGGTGATAGTCTCAGTGCTGACTGCAGTGAGCTGTCACAAATCTGGTACTGTGACAGTATAGGCTCTGTTTTTTAACACCTATGTTTTGTTGAGCTGGTTGGCCAGGGGACATGGAGCTCTTGCTGCAGTAGATGTACGGATTTTTGTGTTAACTCTGGGATCTGTGGCAGTGATAGGAGCATGGATCTAAGCACACGTGGGCACACAGCTTGAATACTGGTTGTCCTGAGTCATAGCTCAGTGTGCACCATCTGTGGGGCTGGGCTGAGTTTCCAGAGGAACCAGCACAGAAAAGCACTTGTCGAGGCTGAACTTGCACTTTCTCAAGCTCAGGTGCACAATGGGAGTAGGATGGTGAGGAGCAGACTCCTGCCTCTTAAATCTTCAGGCTATTAGCTCCCCCCCTTTGTTTACCTCTCCCATTTTACTGTAGTTTCTCACCAGCTGAACAACGCAATGAGGTCACTGTTTGAAACCAGAGCGCAGAAGTCAGCCTGGGTGTGAAGACAGAAACTAATCAGGAAAGTTTGCTGAGGGAAAGAAAGGGGAGACTGTACCCCGTTTCAGGAGCAGTTGGGTGTGCAGGGGAGGCGTAATAAAACCTTGAAATTCCCTTTCTTCAGTATCACTGAATGCAGCAATTGAGATGAAAGTTGACAGTGTTCTGCTGTCTACTATTTATCCTATTTACTTGGGCTTTTTTTAATTTTAATTTTTATTTTTATTTTTTTTAGAAGAGGAAAATGAGTCTTTTGCAGTGATAACAAAAGTCACAGTTCAGCTACTTGCCCTGTCTTCCTTTCTGTCCTTCACAGGCATTTTCCACTTGATATACAGACCTGTGGTTCCCTTTCTTCTCAGCCCAACAAAACAGAAAGCATAATGAGCCATTTTACACCAATCCTGTGAAATCTGAGTGTAGAATTTGCATCTGGAGCACTGAGGTTGGAAGCAGGTGAGATTTTGCCCAGGTAAGACAAGGTGTGGGGTCACATCCAAGTATGCACCCCTTGATATCTGTGACCCGTGGATGGTACTACCCAGGTCCCTGGCTAATGGGGAGACATTTCATGGGGAACAAGATTATCATAGTACCATAGAATCAAGGTTGGAAAAGACTTTAAGATCACAGACTCGTAGAATCACAGAGTGGCCTGTGTTGAAAAGGCCCACAATGAACATCTAGTTTCAACCCCCCTGCTATGTGCAGGGTCACCAACCAGCAGACCAGGCTGCTCAGAGCCACATCCAGCCTGGCCTTGAATGCCTCCAGGGATGGGGCATCCACAGCCTCCTTGGGCAAACTGTTCCAGTGTCACCACCCTCTGAGTGAAAAACCTCCTCCTAATATCTAACCTAAACCTTCATCTGTCTCAGTTTAAAACCATTCCCCCTTGTCCTATCACTTGTTAGCAGCCGCTCCCCTTCCTGTTCATACACTCCCTTCAAGTACTGGAAGGCCACAATGAGGTCTCCCCTAAGCTTTCTCTTCTCCACGTCCTTCCTGTACTGGGGGCTCCAGGCCTGGACACACTACTGCAGATGGGGCCTCACATCTGCAGATGGGGAGACAATCACCTCCCTGTCCTGCTGGCCATTCCTCTTGTAATGCAGCCCAGAACACAGCTGGCCTCCCGGGCTGCAGTCACACACTGCTGGCTGATGTCCAGCTTCTCGTCTTCCAGGACCCCCAAGTCCTTCTCCACCGGGCTGCTCTCGAGGAGATCTTCCTCCAGTTTGTATAAATACCTGGGTTGCCCAGACCCAACTGCAGCACCCTGCACTTGGCCTTACTGAACCTCATTAAGTTTTCATGGGCCCAATTTTCCAGCCTGCCCAGGACCCTCTGGATGGCTTCCCTTTGTTCCAATGTGTCTACCGCACCATTCAGCAAAGATCATCCAATCCAACTGTCCATCTATCATCAGTATTTCCCACTAAACTATGGCCTTCAGTACAACATCTAAATGTTTCTTGTACACTTACAGAGACGGTAGTGCCCCTCAGGGGTGGGAGCTCATTCCAGCACCTGACCACTCACTGAGAGAAGAAGCATTTCCTAACGTCCAATCTGAATCTCCCCTGGTGCAACTTGAGGCCATTCCCTCTAGTCCTATTACTAGTTACATGGGAGAAAAGGCCAGCCCCCAACTCACCACAACCTCCCTTCAGATAGTTGTAGAGAGCCTTCTCTTCTCCGGATGGAACATTCCCAGTTCCCTTTGCCATTCCCCATAAGACTTGTGCTCTGGATCCCTCACCAGCTTTACTGACCTTCTCTGGACACACTCCAGGGCCTTGATGTCTTTCTTGCAGTGAGGGGCCCAGAACTGAACACAATAGTTGAGGTGCAGCCTCACCAGGGTTGAGTACAGAGGGAATTTCCACACCAACCTTTTAAACCACAGGTGACTGGTAGAGAATCAGGATGTGCTGCTTATGTGGGCATTCAGAGTACTGGCGTGGTGCACCCGATATACACACACGGCCCCTCCACGTGCCAGAGCTTTGCAGTGAGGAGATGTTAAAGTTTCAGAGGGGTGGGAAAAAGGGGAGGGAGAAACTGGGAAGTGCACGTGTAATCCCACATTTCAATCTCTGAGGATATTGGTTCTGTACTTCTTATTCACATCTTACCATCTCAAAGCAGCTGAGGCAGTCTGCTATAGCTTTCATGCTGCTATTAAGACTGCCATGGTGAGACTCATTTCACATTGAATGCAACAGTTCAATCGACCCTTTCCTGAGTCAAAGGTAAGAAAAGAAAAAACAATAAACGACAATGCTTTGTTTCTGATAGAAAATGTAGCAGAACACTGGTCTTTAACATGGTAGCCCCCATGATGCAGGAATGCCAGAAATGCTTGCAGCTGCTCTAAATGGTAGCCCAGCTGCATGCACACCGAGCTCTGCAGGGATGGAACTCCCAGCTGACTGGATCTATACCATGCAAGAAACTTATGAAACTGTAGAAAATTTGGAAAATTTTGCAAGTCCTACAAAACCTGGATAAATTTGCAGGCATGGCCCAACTCTGCAATCCAGATCTTTGCTGAGAGTGCAGTAGAACTGAATAGTTACTCTGTCATGTCCTGGCAACGACTGAGAAGTAAAAAGGCTCTGGCAGGCGATGAGTCCCTGATCGCCCCAGTTTTTGCAGCCTGAAATAGGTTATTGTCCTTTCCTCTCTGGTGCTAACAAGCTGCCTCTGTAAAAACCCTTTTCCTTCTGATGCTGGGACACTGATTCCAGAGCTTGCAAGACCATTAGAAAAATAGTCTCCTGCTGAATTGCAATCAGTCTTTTACAAGCAAATGGAAAGGAGCCGGACAGAGGGTGGGAGGACTGTGAACTGGATGAAGTACTCTGTGGGTACCCCTTGGCAATGCAGAAGGCTGGGGGCTGCTGCAGGCTCCAAGGAATGACCAATGTTCATGTCATTTCAATCAGGACCATGGGTAGGAACATGGAGCCAGCTATGGAAGCCCCTTGGGGAACACAGATTGCACTGACCATCATGCTAGTGGTCTCCCTCACTGCAATATAATCAACATACTATCTCGTTCTCATGCATGCATTTATTGTACAAGCTTGCAGTGCCCTGAGCTTGGGAGCCTATAGATGCTGTTTCTGTGAGTGGGTCGTGGTGGAGCAGTCATGTACACTGTGCATGACTGTTGTCATTTACCGTTAATACTGTAGCTGCTTTCCTGTTGCTTGTAGACTTTACTGAATATAAGTGAAGGTAGGAGAGTAGGACAGTAATGCTGTAGCTTTCTGACCCTCATAGTTCATGCAATTGTTCTGTTCTCACAGGTGTGCTGGATTTGCGTGTGGGAGGGGTATATTGGTATCTGCCTCTACAACACAGCAGCGGCTGCAAGGAGACTTAATTTACACATCCCATCCCCATAAATACAGCTGTCAGCCTGTGATTTCCCCATCTGGTCATTTCTACAAGCTGCTAATGTGTTTATGTCCATCAGCATAAAAACACATTCCCAGGCTACTGCAAAGCTACGCAATTTCTAATGCTACTTACTGTTAGACCAGAGAACCAAGCAGCAGGCTCTCCTTGCTGGTGGACAGAAGATAACTACAGTGACTGTGGGAACAGCGAGACACTCAATGGAAGAACAGGGAAAGATATGCAGGAACCCACTGAGAACAGGACCCTTCTGGTTCCCATCCAGCAAGTCACTGGCTTGAGAAGTGTTTGTTTTCTAGGCAACCGCCAGGTAAGAGGAAATAAATCTGTGCTATAGCTCTGGGACAAATGCCAATTTGCCTGCGAGACAGGAGGTTAAAGGCTGTTTGTATGATTAACATTCACACTTAAGGCACTTCATGTTCACATGGCTTGTCTAAGTGCTAGGCCTGACCTGAGCACTGGTGTTGCTTAACTGCAGCGAGATGAGCAGTGTTACCTGCGTAACAAGCAACAGTTATCTTGTGTAACTTTGACAAAAGTAAATCTGCACTTAAAAAAAGAACTGATTTGTATTTTCTATTCAGGTTGCATGGTCTATATCAGCTTCTGCCTTCCACTGTTCCTCACCTTTTCTTTGAGATCTGTTCAAGAAAAGGTGCAGGTAACTTCCCCTCAAAGTCCTGCTGATCTCTGCAGAGCAAGAGCCCCCAAAACAATCCAACATAAAAGGACCTCAACCCAGCAAAATTATTGGGCCTGTGTCAAGAGAAGCTGAATTATGTACTTTATACCCTAGTACAAAATGGGGAAGGAATAAGCATACTCAGTGATTACATTTGGCTATTTTCTTTTTTTCCCAGAGAACAGACTTTTTTGTTTGTTTGTTTAAATCAGGGCAGTGTGTTTTCCATCTGCAAAGTCAGGCAAACAGGGAAAGTAGCAGCCATGTTAATCACTGTCTTTCATCATGGAGATACCAGACAAGTTTGGAATCTTTTCAGCCTGTTGCATGACTTTCCATTTTGTCTTCATTTAAAGCACTATGAAATTATGTGGTAATTCAGACGAGAAGATGACTGCTGCAAAAATCAAGCTTTATTTTTAAAGACAGTGGCAGATGGTTTCCTCAGCGCAGCCGTCGGGTTGAAGACCTGGTGATGGGAGTTGTTTTGGTGGGGGTTTCTTCCTCTCTTAATTCTGCCAGTAGCTCTAAAAGAGTAAAATGTGTCAACAACCAGCACTCCACTGCCTTGAACAGAGAAATCTGCATGCAGCTCTTGATCCCCATCTGCACTCTCTCCCTTCCAGAGGAATTGTAGAATGTCCTGGGTTGGAAGGAACCTTAATGATCGTACAGTTCCAACTCTGCCATAGGCAGGGTTGCCATCCACTAGACCAAGTGTACTAAGACCAGAAGAATAAGTTTTTTCATGCATTTTAGAAGAAAGATAGGAAGAAATTTATGATTTTAACTCATCTGGCAGTCCAAAGTCCCTGACAAAGTTTCTCCACCAAGCTCTCACCCTTGATACACTAAATCTCCAGTCCTTCTCCACCTCTCTGTTTTTACTTTTGAACATACACATCTAATGCCTTACCATTCTCAGAGCTGTTCTCTTCATCACTGGAGAAGGTGATAACAGTTTTTTTGCGTCGATGGGACTTCTGAGCACGTTTGTTGTTTCGGAGTGCTTGTGGCCGGGGTGTGACAAAATCATCATCATCATCCCTGTTGGCTGTGCTCAGGGGCTGGCGGCAGCAGCCTGCTAAGAAGAAAGGAAAGGTAGCAGTCTTCTGTCTGTAAGGGTGAAGAAAACTCCCTAGGCATCTCTGCTGGGCTGCAAGGTTAAGGGAAGACTGCAGTCCCACAAATGGAAGGTACCTGCTGTTGGTCTTCGCTTGGCTGGCTCTGGCAATGGAGTTTTATCACCTTCCTGGCACATCTCTGCTGAATCCAGCCCTTGGTTATGGCAGGCGGACAGCTTCTGCTCCAGCTCTTCAGCCAAAGCCTGGTATAGTTGTAACACAGCAGCAAAAAAAAGAAAAAAAAGAAAAAGAAAGAAAAAACAACAGAGAGAAGCATTACATCCATGGCGTATCCATCTCCTGCTCCAGGATTTAGGATCTCCGTTAAGTCGTTAAGGCGAAATAGTAGCCTGTTGAACATGGAGAACTGCAAAGCTTTCCGATCACTGTGTTTGTAAAGCACTTGTTTTCCACATCTGGATGCTTCCCACCAACCATCCTTACTTTAGTCTCAGGTTTGCCGACTGCTCTGCGGAATCGAACCAGCACAGCTTGGAAACAGCTGTAGACAGCCGGGTCTTGGAGCTTGTCTGCAAAGCAGTCAAAGTTGTCCTGCAGCTTGTGAAGGCCCCGCTCTGAGATGGGCAGCAGAGAAAGGCAGTGGGACAGATCCCGGTACTGACGTTCATTTCTGGGAAAGACAAAGATTGCCCATAGTTCATATGAAAAGGAGTGTGTAAAGATGAGCACATCCTACCTCGAACTGAAGCATGTGAGGAAAAGGCATTTCCCACAGGTGTTTCCTCCTTATGGAACATGAGATTTACTGATGTTCTGTTACAGACCTGTTACAGGGTGCCACACCTTGCAACCACTGTATCCCACAAAAAAATACTGACTTAGTGTCTGTCAGAAAGACAAAGGCTTCACTGTTACAGAACACAGTCACTTGTTAGGAAGCGTCAGAAGTTATTGCTGGCTAGGAGGAGAAACACGCCGTGAAATAAGGGCTCTTTCTGAAGGGACTCATTTCAACTAAAAAGCGTAAAGAAAAAAAACAACTGGCTGCTCTTGAAAATGTCTTTGCTGGTCAGTTACAGGCATAGAGGACATTTTCATTATGATACATAGCAAACAAATAGCAACTGCTGTGTCAGAGGACAGCTAGATCCAGATTCTAGTGAAAGTTGCAAATAATTAAAAAAATCCAAACTAATGTCTTTAATATAGCTCACTGAGACAGAACAGGAGTAAAAACAGTAGGTCAAAGTCCCCCTTACGCATGTGTACAGAACAGAGGGCTTACATATACACTCAAAACGTACTGTCCAAACAGACACAGAAAAAAACTGCAGCATCCAGGTGTTAAATGTGGAGACAGTCATTTTTGGCATGTTGCTAATTAGAACTCCAGAAATCCTAAGGATGGTGGCTGCATAATCCTTCCTGATAAGCTCCTGTATTAGCCTTGAATAAGAGTCTTGCTCTAGCATTACCTCTAGTGAGCACTAAACCGATCATCTCTGTGGTACAGTGGTGACATTAGGACAGCATGGCAAAAGCTAGATGTGTTACAGCCAGAAGGATCTTTACAGGTGTGGTCTGAAGACCTCACCACTGTTCCTAGGATAAAATTTTGAGAGAGGGGCCACTTTCTACTCTGGCTCAGGAAACAAAATCCAAATATTTCTCAGGAATATGCAACTGCCCAAGGCAGCCGAGTTGGTCGCATGCCCAGGCACTGTGTACAAACAGCCAAGATAAGCAGACACAGCTTTAAACCTCAAGGGCAAAGTCACAACTGTGGAGATGGAACACCACAGGAATGGAGGAATGTTGGGTGCACCAAATCCAGTAGAAGATAAAGATAACAAAGAAAATATTTGGCAGAGGCAGGTTCACTTCTTCTGTCTGTTTTTTTCTTGAGGTAAAATAAAAGTCAGTGAAGTTACAGCTTGAGGTGCAAAGGGAAAGAAACATCAACCAAAAAAAAAAAAAGTTTCCAGGGGGCAAAATGATACCTCAGATGCATGGAATGGGCTCTGGACTGCTATACTCTTTAATCAGCACCACAAACAAGTCACATCTTGCAGACAATAGAATAATGCATATCGTGTGGCACAGGCACTCAAACAAGAAAACAGTCTGCAGCATAGTCAGAACTGAGCAACCTGTCCACACAGAAGAAGAATGGGACAGATAAGGAGATCCCAGCACCTCAGTTTAACACCTTCTTTTATTTATTTATTATTATTTTTTTTAACTGAGGTGCCTGTGGAGAAGGACCAGAGAGGTGAATAAAAGCTACCCTGGGTTGTATCTCCTTGCCTACCTGTAAGTAATGCAGATTCAAGTTCTCACAAAACCTTTACCTTCAGAAAGATAAGGGGAGAGGAGCCGAAGAGTCACAGAATGTCCTGGGTTGGAAGGGATCTTAGTGATCATCCAGTTCCAACCCTTTCCCATAGGCAGAGTTGCCACCTACTAGATCACAGTGTAATAAGACAAGGACACATTTTTTTTTCATGCATTTTAGGAGAAAGATAGGAAATTTAGGATTTACTCACCTGGCAGTCCGGAATCGCTGACAAAGTTTCTCCACCAAGCTCTCAGTCTGTTTGTCTTTAGTGATATATGAGAAGAGATGTCTGCAAAGGAAAAATGTAGTAAAGCTGAAAGCCCATAGAGGAAATCCCATTTCTACCTTCACCACGGCTTGCTTGCAGGCCTCCTGCCCAGTGATCAGCTAGGTGACTCTCCAAATGTGAAGACTAGAAAGCTCTACACATCTCAGACTCTGTTCAGGAGAAGCTATTAGCATATAATGTGTTTTAAGTAGTAATTGCAGTCCCTGTTGGAGGACAGCTGCTACAATAATTATAACTGCATGTTTGTTAAGCACCTGCCTAAGATAAAATACAGCTAGCTATACAGCTAAAACAAGGACTCTTGCGGGTCTGGAATGAGAACTGCTTATGTCTGTGTGGGGTAGGTGGGTTGTTGAAAAGGCTGTGGTACCTATTTCTGCTCAGCTCCTTCCATCCAATTTTAAGAGAAGCAACGCCTCCAGATGATCTCCCCACTTCAGAGCTGTGCTACAGACCAGTATGTCTGAAAAGGCAGACTGTACTGAGTGTGCGATGGCATAGAGACTTTCTTTTCTCAAAAATCATTATTTTGCTGAAGGTACATTGCTATACGTTTTCAACAACAGAAAAGTGAATGTTATTTTACATTAAAGAGGGAACAAAGCTGAACAGAACTGAAATATCAACTTGATCCCACATTTTTCTCAGCTTTTTGAGGAATAAGACAACGTTGACTTTAAGACAGTTCATTAAGTACTCCTATGTTTTGCATGATGCCTTCACAGAAGTATTGAATAACTGAATTCTCTGTATTAAAAAGCTATAGCACATAGTCCTCCTTTTTCTTCTACCAACATTTCTGTTAACTTATTCTCAGTCAAGCTGCTGCTGGCTTTTAGGTAGCTGCTGCAAGTACATCCTTGTTTGGTCTTTGTCACACCTACAATCACCACCAAATCAAGCTTCCTTTCTCTTAAGCTATGGATCTGACACTCAACACTCAACCCCCCCCGCATTTGTTCCAATTTCAATTCATCTTTCCTTAATTTAAGCAACCCAAATTGTGACAGCATTCCAACCAAGGTCTAACCAGCATTTCAACATTTCCTACACAGAAAGCAGAAATAAAGCATCTGTTAAAATAGCAAGTGGAATGAATCTCTTGCTAACTTCAGCCATACCTTTACAGCAGGGGTTGTTACATTTTGTTCTACTAGTTTTCGGATCAGTTATTGCTGCAATCCTCTTTCTCCATTAGTCCTTTACCAGCAATCCTTCCCTCGCTACTTATCAATCAGCAGACATCACTGGTCCTTTCTTTTCTAAACCTCCACAATCTCCGTTTTGGCAAGTATCCTTGGATTATAAGCCACCCTTCCTCCCAGCTCGTGCCTTTGAGTTTAACTAGATCCTCTCCATAATACAAGCACTTCATATAATACTATTACATGGAGAAATAGTTCAGTTTCAACTACTTCCTTCTTTCCTATCTGAAGAATTCAAAGTGGTATACTAGCTGCCACAGTTCTCTTCTGCATTAGCTTTAGAATAATGTGACTTCTGCCTACTCTGTTAAATCAATACATTTTCTCTTGCTATGCACTTCTATTTCTCTCCCTGTGTACTGTGGAAGGCAGAAAAATCGATCTGTATGTGTCTTGATCACATGAACTCTGTCCATCCTCAGTGCAAGTACTAAACTTACTAATTTCTATGTCTGTGAGAACACCTCCAGTTTGACATTTATTAAAAACTGTACTGAGAATTTCAAATGTACATCCCATTCTTCTCATGTATGCCATCTATTTCACATATAATGGTCTTTGATGATTTGCTTCTATCTCTGACACTAAATTCTTCTATGTGTACTATCAGTAGTTACAAGCTATATTTCCCATTATCTCCCATTGAAAACTGAAGCAAAACGTTCATGTACTTTTGGAGTCATAAATTAATCTTATCCTCACTGGTAGTCTTTTTCTGAGCTTTGCAATTCCTGCCTGTTCAAAATTCCATCCCTCTTCCTAAATGCAGTGGAATCTCACTGACAGAAAGACTCCAGTCAAAAACCACTGGTATGGAACATTCCCTTCACCCTCAAAGAGGTGGCTGTAGGTTGGTTCCCCTTGGGATGACTTCCCTTTCAGATGCAGACTGTGAAAAAGTCCGATTGAGGAGAACGAGAAAAAAAGCATTATATATGCCATGGTAGTTTGTTCTGTAGATTTGGTAGCTCTTAGCTCAATAGTCCTAGTCAGAACAGACTTCATTAACCCTCATTTCAGATTTTACATACCTCATAATAGTGTGGAAGGATTCTTCATCTACGCCACAGTCAGGATCTGAGAGACGACTGATGATGTCTGGAAGCAGGTTATAGATGGCATTATCCTGCGTGGGACACAAGGTTCTACATGAGATACAAAATTATGAATGACAGCTGGAGCCAAGACAAATAAGCTGTTCACTTAAAGTTACCTTTTTTCCCAGCACAAAGCTATTAACTGAAAGCATCAGCTTCTTGAAACAAGCTGTACACAGCCAGCCAATCCTATCTGGGGCTACTTGACTAAAGCTGAGGAGCTAACAACAACTGCAACCCTCTTTGGCAGCCTTGGTTGCAGTTTCTTTACAACCTTGTCACCTCCCAGCACAAAAACATTCTGGAAGGAAGCATACAGAACAGTTCAGCTCAAGGAACTGTCTCTCATCTTGCTGGAAAAGACCCAACCCAAAATTCCCTTTCCCAAGGCTTACAGGCAGTTTAGTTACAGACAATGCAGAGATAGAAAACCAGTACAGTAGGGCTTACCTTTTAACAGAACAAGGCAAAAGGGTAAAGCTCCAGCATCACTGCCACCTCTTAGGCAGTAAATCTCAAACTCTGAAGGGCCTTCAGCAGCACATAGGGGATAATAGGAACTATGGCTCCTACCTGCCTGGACAGTAACTGCTTCAGTTTAAGTATCTCAATGTCACACAGCCAGGAATAACATTGAAAGGTCTCATGATGCACTGCCTCAGCCTGAAGTCAGGGAACTCTTACAAGACTTATTCCCAAGCCCATGCTAGGTGTGCACAAGTAAGCAGGTAGACAAAGCACTGGTTTGGAGCCTGCCTTCTGATGTGAATGAATGAGGACAAATTTGACAACATCAAAACTCATTTTGCAAAATTCCCTTTTTCTACTCTTATTTAGACAACACAGAGGAACAGCAGATAGATCCCCTACAACACACTTTCTCCAGGACTCCAAATTCTCGTGTCATCAAGCCAACCCTTACCAACCCCTTGCTACTCTTATGAACTAAGAATCCTCAGCATCCACTTGCCTTGTTGGAGAGTTCATTGAAAAAGTTTTGAGCCACTCCCACGATTGCTTCCTCTGGGTCTATAAGCAGAGCTGCCATCTCACTCACTTGGCCTTTCACCTTTACCATGTCTTTGAGGATGAGGTGAGTCATCACCACACCAGCCGTCTGCCTCACACTTCGGCAGGGATCTCGCAACCTGGCAGAAGCAAATAATTAACATGGAAAGCAGCTGAACATCTCTTAAGTTACCAGTACCCACGACATCCTACTTACTCCACAAGCCAGTTCTGTTGTCTCCCTCCACTGATGCCTTAAAATTTGCTTTCCTCCAATAGGCTCACCTTCCAGAAGCCCGGTGCCACCCTCACATCGAGTTCTTATCACCTGTCCTCTGCTAGCAATAAACATGGCATTACCTGGCATACAGATGTGGTGTCCATGGCTCCACCTGATTGGGGAAACGGATGGCCAGATCTCCTGCTGCAATAATGAGGTTGGATCTCACAACAGGGAGAGGGGACTTCTCCATCATAGTGAAGAGCAGGCGCAAGTGGGAGTCACAGAATTCAGAGCTGGCAGGACAAGATAGCGAAAAGAAGGCCAAAGTTAGTAACCGAAATCCAGTCTCTGATATTAGTGAGACAATAAGTGTATGCTCTTTTATCCATGTTTTTTCCTCTTCCCCAGAAGGGAGTTGCAACATTTATTGTACTTAAGTGCCAGCGAAGCTGATAAGAGAACGTCAGCGTTACCTGATCATGCAGACTTTGCCAAGAGTCAGGGCTGCAGCAGCTCTAAGTGCCGGATCACTGTAGAGCCCAGGGTTATTGCAGATCTTGAGCACCAGTGGAACAAAGGCAGAAAACAGGTGCTTCTCTAGATAGTGGGGATGAAAGCAGCAGATATACTAGCACTGTTCAAGCAGCATTCCAAGAAAAATCACTGAATTTACAGCAGAACTCCTGTAGACTATACGAGCTGGATAACTCACTTTTGCTACCTTCAGAGAAACAGAATAAAGAAAGAGCCTATAATGAAACTGAAGAAAAATGACAGTGTTTGTTTATGTAGGAAATAGCCTCCCTTCCTCTAGATGCATTTCCCACCCCTCCCATTCTCTCACATGTGACAGATGGAACCTGTACTGCTCTTCAGTGGAGCCATACTTACCATCTAGAAGTTCTATCTCGCAAATATTGCGGATGAGCTCAGCCTCAGTGTCATCAGCAGATGCTCCAATGAGGCCCAGCTCCTCCTCCATAGTGGTATCATTTCCTGTGCTCTGTGTAGAAAAAAAATGGTTGTAAAAAGAGACGATGGGAAATGATAATCCTTTCCTTCACAAAGTACTTCTTTCTTAGGTGACAAGTGCTATGCATATCCCCAGCAGCATGACAAGAGTCTGGAAGAACAGACTGACAGAATTCTGTAACTTGCTTTTCTGTAAGAATTACATGAAGCTGTGAAATTTAGTCCAGGATTTGCTAGTGCATGTGCCACAGTACACCAAAGAAAGTCTAAGTCATTGAAGCTACCAAACTGAGACAGAAATAAGATACTAGCATCATTGCCCAAGTCAAACACAACTTGAGGGACACACAAATCCCAAAAGCAAAGAAAATCAAAGCAGCCTTTGAATTTCTGGTCTTGTGAGCAAGACTATAGGAACCTTGTCACAAAGGAAAAACAAAAACACAAGGGAAGAAAAGAGACAAAAGTATTGCACAGGGGGATCAGATCTGTACCCAATTGCTACTTCTGGGAAAATCTCATAACACCTTCCCCCTCGGTGGGAAATGATAGTGACTCCTAAGCAGAGCAGATGAGAAAATGTATAAAGTTCCCTGGACACGGCAGCGTATCCATCTAATAAAGACTGAAAGTCTAGGGAGATGATTTTTTCTTCTATTCTTACCCAAACAAGTCAACTTCACTGGAAAACACCCTGTAGTAGAATTAGATGTAGATTAAACTTCTGGAAACTGTTTTTACAAAACTCAGTGCACAAATGAGTGCTCATTCTTCACCACTAACAGCAATTGCGAAAAGACTGCAATGTTAATAAAGGAAGTGATGGTTAGAGAGGAAACTAACGAAGAAGATAAATCTAGTCAGGCTATTACCCTTTGATTCTTCCCCCTGCCTGTTCCAAACCCAAGAATGGCTGGAGTTTCACTTAACAGGATCTCCCTGTCAATCCTTGACAAATTCACGTCCACTAGAAGTTTGCTGTGGCAGTAGCTGGGACATTAGCAAAGCTCACAGGAAAACAATCACCAAGGTCTCACCCGAGGCCTCTGCTTTATTGCGCTGCTGTGAGAACGCTCTTTACGCTTCTTGGTCTTCCCCTCCTCCCTGAGGATGCGGCGCCTGCGCAGCTCCGCACTCACAGATACTTCCAAATGCGCTACCTGCCGCAGTGCCACCTGTCCCACAAGGGACACCAGGTGCAGCAGCAGGAATGTAGGGAGACTGCTAGCGCCATCAGAGACTCTGCTGGGAGAAGCCCCTGGCTCTAGTGGAAGAAAGATTATTGTAGTTCAGCACTGATTTGGAATATACATGTATAATTACTGCCCAACCTCAGTAGGTGTATAACCCACCTCCATGCTCCACAGACCCCTTCACAGCACTTGCATTCCTCCATGCCACCATCTCTACTAGCCCCAACTCTTCTCCTCCCGCAGTTATCCCAGACCACCCAACCATAGCACCAGAAACCACGGGTACAGATTTGCTTCACCAGCTTTTTTTCCCTCACCCTCTTTCTGCCCATCAGCCTCTTGCAGATTCTCCAGAGCTTTCTGGCTGCACACCTGCAGGATGTGAGCACATATTTTCTCTGGTCCTTCTGCTAGTTGGTAGATGAGCGTTACTGCTGCCTCCATGAAGGGGATCCAGTGACTGCTTGGCTGGGCAAAGCCTGATGAGAAAAAGGAGCCATGTACCACACAGAACAGCTGCAACACAAACTGCCTCACAGTCCAGCTTCACCTCCTCCAAACCTGCTGCTGACTTGAGCTCACCATTACTCACAGCCTCGCTCAGGCACACAAACAGTGCTTGTTCCTGCGGCAGTCGAAATGGGACACTGTTCTTCCCCCCCTGCTGGCTGCAGAAAGAGATGAGTTACTCTTACCACACAAAAGAACACCTCTGTGCCCTCACTGGCTCTTCATCTTGCTGTGTGTGCAATCTAAACCAAAAGCCTTGTTATGCCCATAGCAGGGACATCCAGCACTGCTCTGTCACTCAACACACAGCGGGGACATTAGTGTCACTTTTTAAGACACGGTGGCAGCAGTGGGCAGATTTGAAGCTTGTCCAAACCACGATTCCAAGCCAAGCTAAATAGTTCCACTACTTTACCTTAAATTGAAACAACCCTTAAAAATCTTAAAATGACTCTAAATCTGGTGTTATTTGCTCTGTACTGCTCCCACTACATATAAGCTTGGTGTAAGACAACCAAGAATGCCAATGCCTGGGATACACAGCACATCTGTGAGTTCCTGATCAAGATATACTTGATTAAAACAAGCTACTGCTTGAGATTCGTCAGCTTTCACTAGCTGGAAGTAAAATTTCTCAATTTACTATAGTTTTAGTCTCTGTTATGAACCTCTTGTTTGGAGCAGGAGCAGAAGAACTTCTACAATTATTCAAACATAAGTCCCTTCTCATTCTGAAGATAGCTGTAACTCGGTGTGTCATAACGTACATTCATTCACAGAGGTCCTGCAGTCACGTCCCCCCAAAAAAGGGGCAAAACCAGACTGACTGTGATGTGTGAAGGAGGGCAGTTTTCGTGTTGCAACTCCTGAATTAAAATACCCTAAATGCTTGTGCTAAACACAAAGCAACAACAGCAACAAAAAAAGAAGAAACAAAAAGTTTTTCCCTAAGTGCATTAAAAGCTATAAATTGCTCTTCATCAAAGAAACCATATGATAGGCCACCAGTTATAACATGAACGGATTTGAAAACCTGTCATGTTTTATATTCAGCCATACAGTCAACAACTCCTAAATAACAATTAACAGAGAGGGCAAAGGAATCACAACACCAGAAAATATCAGTCGAGGAAAGTGCTTCATGGTTGAGGAGACATAAATCAGTTTAGAATGGGGAGCATGAGCAAGAGAATTGGAAGGAAAACAGATTTTCTTGTGCACTGAACTCTTTTCTAATTTGAATTCAGCAGTTGCCTAATGAAAATTTTCTTATTGCACGTTCACTGATGTGTGATAAGTGCTGCTGAATGGTCTCAACCTTCATCATTTTGAAAAAACAAAAAAATCCCATACAAACAAAAACAAAACAAAAGCCCTAAACCATAACAAATTCTCTTTTCTCAATGTAAGCTCCGTTCCCTGCTTCTCTTTTACCAGGTAACTATTTCTGTGACTACAAAGACCAAGTGAGAACTTTACCTTAGAATTACTGGCAAGTTTGGAGATTGCATTGCATACTTCTTCTGCCAAGCGATAGTCTTCATACACCCTCTCAGCCAGCCCTACTGTCACCAAAACATCCAGGTTGCTGCCTATGATCTCCGGCTTCCCTCTATGGAATGGAAGGGACAGGGGTATCACAGGAAGCGCTGATGAAACTTCACGGTAAATATCCATAACCAAGAGAAATAGCCCTTGTGGCTTGCAGAAGGCAGTCATTCAAGAAGGGAAAAAAGATAAATGAATTGACTGGAAACACAGCTATAGGGGCAGTACACGCTGCACACAAGACAAGACCTTTACTCCAGTGTGTACATGTGTTATCCAAACTGAGCAAAATTGGAAGTATGACTATTCGTAAAAACTAATGCTTTATTTCTTCCTTGTCAGAAGGGAGTATAACTTAAAAGCTTAAGACAAAAACGTTACAGAGCGAGAAAGAGTCCAGTAGTTCAGGACTGGTAGAGGGCAGCACTTTCTACACTGATGGGGCAGGGTGAAGGAAGCTGTGGTCAGCAAAAAAATCCCCGACCAACCAATCAACCGACCCTCAATCCCACCTCCCTCTCATCCTGCAGATACTAGACCTGGTCTGAGGAACATACTCTTCTTACCCTCTCCAGGCAATTGATGTATCTAGCACGTTTAAAAATGGAATCTAATAAGAAACAGACTTAGCATGATTCTCAGCAACAAAAGCAAAATCACTCCTTCCACAGTTTTCTACACTTCCTTTCTACAGTTTTGTGGATATCCCATGATTTTAGGAATTTTGAATTTATGCTTACAACTATACTGCAAGCACATGGGATGGAGTGGCAGAAATATCATGGAAGGAATAACTAATACACAAATAGTGGAATTGCCTGTAGGCTCCTGAAATGGCTCTTACTGTAGTGCCAAGATCTTTTCATCATCATCCAGGCCTACTTTTAACTGATGAAGGAGTGAAGTAGGAAGAACAAGAAATTA